CTCTTGATTTCATTGGTTTAAAGGCAATTTGAATGACTGATAAAAATATGGCTTGGTTTTTAAGAATGTAAGGTGGCGTTTGTTTTTCACTAGTTTTTGCGTTTGTGGTGAAACAAATGCAACAAAGCGTTTGGTAATAAATCAAATAGCGTTTTGTACTGTAGTGCTTACTAAAAAATTGAGTTTGAAACGTATTTTTTGTGCAACAGTATTTATACGTTTTTTTAAATGAGTTTCGTAAAACCCTATTTGTTTTATGTTTCAAAAGCACTTTTGAAAAAAAAAATTTATTTTTTTCTTTACTTTAAATTAATAGAATTTTAGTATTTTTTATATCACTTCGATGCGTTGATATAAAAAATAATTTTTAAAAATAAAAAAAAATATTATTTTGATGCATTTCCAAGTACAAAGCACTTTGAAAAGCAACCGTAACCACACTTCTACCAAATATTTTTTTACATGTTTTTTTGCTACCCATAAACTTGAATAATAATTTTTTACCAAACATGTATCTAAATTCAACTACCACAGCTAGCTGCACATTTTTTAAACTTACTTTTTTAAAGCCATAACCACAAAAACTACCTTAAATACAAACACTCTTAACTTTGGGAATAAACTTTTATATAAGTTGAAAATACTATAGATGGAAAAAAAAATGAGATTATTAATGTTCAAAGTAAATAAACTGAGGATCAGAAATTTTTTTTGTTATGAATTTTCCAAGTAAGATATCTTGATATATATATATATATATATATAAGTTTTAATTAACTCAAAGATAAAAAGGGTAAGGTTAAATGTAAGGGAAAAAAATTAAATTCAAATGTTAAGGGGTGAAATTATAAAAGATAAAAATGGTATAACTCAAATTGTAAAAGAAAGAAAGAAAGGGGTCAAAAATAAAACACTTAAGCAAGTGAGGTCAAATGTCAAATAAAAAAATGAGATTATAAATACCCTTTTTCCTTCTTAGCCGATTGCAGCAATAACAAAAGGAAGGAGAGAAATTTGAATTTTCCATAAAAAATTAAGAGAGAAACAATAAAATTTGCTAAGTTTACACAAGGTTTATATCAATTGGTAGAAAAAGTATTGTTAAGCAAGGAAATTAACAAGAAATAAGTGAAGAAAATTATCGGGAGAGAATAAGAGAGTGAGGGTCGACTAATGTGCAAAAAAGAAGGAGTCAAATTTTTTTGACTTGTTAAGGATCAAAGTCTAATTTATCACCAGGTAAAACTTGATTATGTAAGGCAATTTGAATTTGATGAGGAATTGATATATTAATCTTGAATTTAAGTTAGTGTCTTTGAGTGAAATTTGATGGAATTATAGAATTGTGTGGAATTGACTTCCTCCTTATTCGAGCCTAAAAATAATAGAATTCAAAAAAGATCTTTTCATAGAAATTATAGCCAAGGATGTTAGATTTTCAACGAGACTAACCTTGCTTAATTTGAAGTTCTAGAACTCTAGATATAGATAAAATTTTAAGGAGAGGCATAGTTGCCATCTCTGCTAACAATTTTGACTAGGTGCTAAAATGGGTAATTTAGATGCGTTAGGGGCATAATTGAGTTTCTTATCCCAGAAAATATGTAGTATTGGGTTTTAACATTCAAAGAAAATAAGTCATGTTTGAACCCAAGATTTGTAATATTAGTTATGATAAAAATAATAATAATAATGATCTTAATGGATGTAATAGGAAACACAAATATAAAGGAAAAATTGTTGAAAAGAAGTTAATATTTACTAATTTTATTGTTATTAAAAGAAATATAACTTGAATAGAAATTAATATGGTATACCTGTGAATACTAGAGGGATCACGAGCTGCATAACAGTAGTAAGGGAGCACGAGTCGAACTTTCACAGTGGGTAAGTATTCTACACCCATATCTTTTTTAAATGTACATAATTATGAAAGTTTTTTAATTTTTGGATTTTATATATAAATGTTAACAAAAAAAAAATCTAATAAAATGAATGAGAAATGGAAACAGGCTTGATTAACTATTCCATTTGATAATAGTTAATGATGCCAATGAGTTCCATTGATACCGGCATTTCCCTAAATTTAATTAATTAGTTTTGAGAACAAGAAACTAATAATATTAGTAAGGTTTACTAATATCAATATGATCATATCGAAACATGGGGGATATTAAGCTTGATTAATTATTTTGAGTTAGGAACAATTAATGATATCAATGGGTTATATCGATATTGGCATTTCTATGTAACTTAATTAGCTATTCTTTATATGGAGGCTAATGATATCAAGGATCCTTAATATTGGCATTTCCAAGAATATTTCAAAGTATTATTGAGACTTGAATAACTATTTTGAGTTGAGAATAGTTAATAATATTAAGGGATTGTATTGATATCAATATTCATGATAAATTTGATTAGTCGGTCAGAGTGAGAGATTAAGTATACTAATGAAATTCATTATTATCGATATTACAACCCCCAATGTTCTAGGAAGAAAAAAAAACATATGATTAGTTGTCCGGTGAAAGATGGATAATGATACCAATAAATTAATATTGACACTTTCTTAAAGGAATTGTCATTTGGTATAAATATAAGATATTAGTTGAAAATTGAGAATATACTGAAAAATATTAGTGAATTTATGAGAAAAAAAATCTCAAAAGAGACTAAATAGGAATTGTAAGGAAATATAAATGAATGTTAGTCATAAATAAATTGCTTGATTACCAATATTAATAATGATTTTCCATAATATTTATATTCCAATATTATATTTTTAACTAGGTATCACACTAAAAACAAGAGTGATTTTCAAATCTTTCTATTATTTTGTTATTTAATTTTAGATGAATACTTTTGTATTTTAGATTTTAAGAAACTATCATAACTTGAATTGTAATAATATCTTTAAAATTAAATGTATAAACTTAAATTTTATTTTCATATATTTATAATCTACATGTATATGTGTTTACTTATTTAGTGTCATTTTACACTTCATTTCTATTATATTAATGTTTGAGAGATTGTGATTGCATTAATATTAATATTGATTGTTGGAATTAAAACCTAAGATGAGTGGGTCATGATTGGATAATGGTTAATAAAGTTGTAATGAGTTGTTGTCAATACCTTGGGATCTCTTAATAAAGATTTTGCTAAATTTTTAGTGAGCCCTTGCATGAATTTGATTTTTTTTTTTAAAAAACTTATCATATTTTTCCCTAAATTATGATTGGTATGTTGTTTTGGCAATTAGGATGTTACATTTTTTTTTTTAAGATGATAGCTTTTTAATTTTTTTTTACGATAATAACATATTGGATTGACCTTAATCCCTTCATGACCCAAGCCATGGACTCTATTAGGTTTTAATAATTGTTTTTATAAATTAATTTTATTTAATTATTTGATAAAAAATAGATATTCGTAAAATTAAGCACTAATTTTAAAATAATTTTTTTATGGAAGAAAGTAACAACCTTAAATAAAGTATGAATGATGAGATTGAAAAAAAATTAATTAAAGAAAATTAAATGACCAAAAAAAAAAATTAAGTTGGTGGATAAACTCGTTAAATCTATTAATTGAGTAACTCGGTCTAACACGTCAACATGTTAACCTGGTTATAGAATCCACATAGATTATAGTTTATTTTCAAAACTATTTTTTATTTAATTATATAATAATAAAAAATAGATGATTATAAAATTAAATACTAACCTAATATTGATATATTTTTTTTGACACCGTAATAACCTTATAGAAAATACAACGAAACCAATTATGAGATTGAGTTCTCAATTAATCTAATATCTAAAAATAAAATAAAAAATAATTAAAAAAAACTCATCAGAACCAGCAATTAAATCAATCAACCAAACTTATGAATAAATCTATGGATTTTATAAAGTTTGATAACCTAAATTTTCTATGAAATTACTTTTTTATTATATGAAAAAATAAAAAAATCAAGTTTAATTAAAAAAATATCTTATCAAACTCGTAAATTGAAGCAACTTAAATTATTTTAACAAACCCGTAAATCATACTATTTTTATAAAAAAAAATTATAAAATTCAATACTTAACTATCATAATATTAAATAATAAAATCAACAAAAAATTAAAAAAAAAATACTAAAAAAAAATTGTAATTCACGGGAGCAATGATTTCCCATTACCTTTTAATCTTTGTTGATAATTAATAATAATGAACAAACATGAGGGGACAAGAGAGCATGCTTAATTCTCATATTCACCATCACATCTCCGTCTTCCTCGAGATTATTATTATTATTTTTTAAATAACCCAGCGGTGGCTCGCGAGCCTGGAACAATGAGGTGATTGCTTCTTTCCCATTTAAATTCATGAGAATTAGATATATATTTTCGATCCAAATTCGATTTCTGCTACAAAACCATGTCAAGACTTTCAGTGGTTGCTGTAAGTCTTATGAAGTTGAGGAAGAACACGTTTTGTTTTCGAAACACTTTCTCCCTCCCTCTCCCTCTCGCTCTGCTCTCAATCTCTCTCTTTCCCTGGCTTTGCTTTTGATGGAAAACAAATTTCTCATTAAAAACGAACGCGAAAAATAAAACATTAAGATGTTAAATCATTGCAGATAAATTGAGGGTCTTCAATCCGCGCTCAGCTCCAAATAAGGTGGTCGTCGATGAAGAATTGCAGAACTGAAATGGAGCTATCCTTCTTAGGTTCTGCATAAAAGACTACCAGCCTTTTTAATTTTATATTTCAAATGTATTTAAAAAAAATAATTAATTTTTTTATAGTTTCAAATTAAAACAAAAATAATTTTTTAAAATAAAAAATATTATTTTAATATATTTATAAATAAAAATTACTTTAAAAAATAACTAACACACCATTTATCCAGCGGGCTTTTTATCTACTGTTCAATAACAAGAGCCCATGAAAATAACGGTTCAAAAAATTAAAAAAAAAAAAAACGGTTACTCCCTTCTTCCTCCTTTTTAAACACTAATAATAATAATAATAACAGGCAGCGTCGTTAACCAGCTAGGGTTTTTGATTGCCGCTTATTCCCTACCCCACTTAGAAGAAGAAGAAGACTCTCTGTCTTCTACAGGTAACACTTAGAATGCATAACCTCTCTCAATGTACCTTTATTAGGTTTTCTTTCTCCTCCTTTCTATTCATTTCTTTAACCTTTTTTTTTTTTTTAAATAAATACTGAAGCTTTGTTAACCTCCAGTTTATACCCGAATCGTCCCTACACGTTTCGCTCACCAAAGGACGGGGATTTATGCTCGTTTTCTAATTTTATATTTGACTTTATGCTCCTTTTCTAATTTTATATTTGGTTTTTTTATTGTTTTTCAAATTCCTTTTGTTTTTATTTTCAGAAATAAGCTCAGTTTAGTTGCTGTTGTTTCCTTTCTTTTTTCTTTTAGTTTTAAATGCAACTCTCTGGTTGTTATTGATGCTTGAGCTTCAGCCTCACTGCATTTTGTGTATTTTGAAGTTGGACTTTTCTGGGTTTTACTTATTCTTTGCATTGGTGTATGGTATATACAGTTTTAGCTAGAGAACATATTTTCTGGCATAAATGGGAAGCAAGAAAAGAAGCTCCAATTCAGCTGAGGTAGTTGAGGATTCAGATAATACAAATACAAAAACTGAGAACGTAAACTTGGAGGATATGAATAATGAGAATGCAAGTTCAAATCTAAGTAGAAAGAAAATGAAGAAAGATAAGAATAAAGAGAATGAAACCCTGGACGGAGATGCTTCTAAAGCAGGCCTTTATAATAATAATTCTAGTTCGCTGAAACCCATGGAAAGACGAAAGAAGAGAAAAGCATTGGATAAAGAACGCCAGCATGCTACTTTAGAGGATAAAGATGGGAAGACTAAAAAAATGGATGTTAATTCAAAGGTTACCGAAAATAAAGAGCAGATGGGAGCTTCCTCAAGTGGGGTATTGCCAGAGTTTCACATTGGCGTCTTTACGGAACTGATATCGGCTGATGTGTCTGTGAGAGAAGCTGCAGTGGAGAGATTGGTCATGGAGTTGCAAAAGGTTCAGAAGGCGTACGAAAATGCAGAGAATAAGGTGGTGGTAGAAGATGGGTTGAAACTGGAAGCAAAGAAGGATGATGGGTTGAATGACTGTGCTCCTTCAGTGAGATATGCTGTGCGTAGGCTTATTCGTGGTGCTTCTTCATCAAGGGAGGTATGATTGGTTAAATTGCAGACTGTTCTCTTGTTTCTTCTTTGTGAAGGCTATGTATCACGTACAAAGTCAGAACTTTTGAACCAAGGTTGTGATTCTCTATATATGCTATGAGGGAATGGACATTTGATTCATAATATCTAACAATGAACTTTTTACTTGTTTTCAAAGTTCAATCCCGTTACGGGGAAGTGTTTCTTAGAGCTGAATTAACCTTAAGAACTGTCTTTTTGATGAAAATGGTACATTAGTTTAGTTTGATCATCACCTTGCTGCTGTGTAATAATTGTTCAATCATGTCTAATGCCTTCTGGGTTTTGAATTTGATGGATGATTATGTAAAACATGCATTCTGGGCGTGTCTGTTGCAATGACTTATTTCTCAGTGCCTGTTCATCTCATTTTTAATAATTGCTTTGCACTTGCAACTCTGAATTTTATATGACCGTATACACATTATCTGATTCTTGTTTCTTGGGGTGTTATATCCTACTGGTCGATATGCAAATGTTTATCAGGGCATTTAGATCTTACTGAAGCTAGATAAAATGTTAAACCATACAACATTAACTAGAAGCTGAAAATGGTCAAATACCCAACCTTTTTAGCATTATATAATTTCTTCATATACCGTAGTATCTATTGTGTGGCTTTAAACTTGGGCTATCTATGACAAGAGGTTGTTTGCTAACTTGTGTACATCATGTAATCTGGTTTTCCTTTTGCAGTGTGCAAGGCAAGGATTTGCATTGGGCCTGGCGGTGTTAATTGGTACAATTCCTAGCATCAAAGTGGATTCAGTGATGAAACTAATAGTTGACATGTTAGAAGTTTCTTCATCAATGAAGGGTCAGGTGAGCGAGGATTGCCATTTTGTATTCTGTTGCTATCTTCTCTATATGAAATTCCTGAAGTTGATTCTTTGTGGCACTGCAGGACATAAGGGATTGCCTTTTAGGTCAGCTATTTGCTTATGGTGCTCTTGCCCGATCAGGAAGACTGGTGGAAGTGTGGATTTCTGATCATAACACCCTCTTCATTAAGGAATTCACCAATGTACTTATCTCACTTGCATCAAAAAAACGATATTTGCAAGAGCCTGCTGTTGCAATTATTTTAGAATTGGTCGAAAAGGTATCTTACTCTAACAAACGAAGAAACTTGATTTTATAGGACATTTGCATCCTTTTTTATTTTTCCATGGGGCTTATCATATCATTTTTGGGAGGGGGGTTCTTTTGCTTCGGATTTCCTATTCATTATGTATGTCTTTCCATTCCTACTTTGTCTCTTTATCCCTCCACTGTTATGTCTTGTGATTGCAGTTGCCAACTGAGGCTGTGTTGAATCACGTACTTGAAGCTCCAAGACTGTGTGAGTGGTTTGAAGGTGATGCCAATGCTGGAAATCCTGATGCTTTGCTTTTAGCTTTGAGAATTCAGGAGAAAGTTTCTGTTGATAGTGAAATTTTTGGAAAGATTTTGCCACATCCATTCAGCCCTAGTAGGCTTTTTGCATCTGATCATTTGTCCTCTATTATTAACTGCCTGAAGGTGAATCTTTAATTATTTGTGTATGAAGTGTGAGTTGTCAGTTTTGTGAAAGGTTTTATATTTACTCATGATGTTATTGTTTGTGGAATATGGCAGGAATCAACATTCTGTCAGCCTAGAATTCATGGTGTGTGGCCTGTTCTGGTAAATATTCTTTTACCTGATGTCGTTATGCAAGCTGAAGATGTGGTATCGGCTTCTAATTCTCTAAAAAAGCATAAAAAAAGTCGCAAGTCTAGCTCTTCTGAAGAAGAAGTTGTCAAGATTGTTCAGTGTTTCCGTGAAGTTTTTATTGAAGGGTCCCTTCTTCTCTCTTCTCATGATCGCAAGCACTTGGCATTTCATATTCTGCTCCTTCTCCTCCCAAGGCTCCCCGCATCATTCATTCCATATGTTCTTTCTCACAAAATTGTGCAATGCTTGATGGATATACTTTCAACAAAGGACTCTTGGCTGTATAAAGTCGCTCAGCATTTTCTTAAGGAATTATCTGATTGGGTAGGAAATGATGATGTCAGAAGGGTTGCTGTTATAGTGGCTTTACAAAGACACAGCAATGCAAGATTTGATGGCATCACCAGAACAAAAACAGTTAGAGCTTTGGTGACAGATTTTAAAACAGAATCTTGTTGCATGCTGTTTATTCAGAATTTAATGAACATGTTTGTGGATGAAGGTTGTTCTTCAGAGGAACCCTCAGATCAGAGTCAGACTACTGATGACAATTCAGAGATGGGTTCTGTCGAGGATAAGGATTCAAATGGTGCAATGGAAAACTCTGATTTCTTGAAGAGTTGGGTGGTGGAATCCCTCCCTAGTATTTTGAAACATTTGAAGCTGGAGCCTGAAGCAAAGTTTCGGGTGCAGAGGGAAATTTTGAAGTTTCTAGCTGTTCAGGGTCTGTTCTCTGCATCTCTTGGCTCTGAAGTTACATCTTTTGAATTGAAGGAGAAATTTAAGTGGCCAAAGGCAGCCACTTCAAGTGCAATTTGCAGAATGTGCATCGAGCAGATCCAATCACTGCTGGCAAATGCTCAAAAGATAGAGGGGTTGCATTCTTTGGCAAGTGGCCTGGAGCACAGTGATCTTGGATCTTACTTCATGCGTTTTCTCAGTACACTCAGAAACATTCCTTCGGTTTCTCTTTTTCGATCTGAGTGATGAAGATGAAAAGGCATTTGAAAAATTGCAAGAAATGGAAACTAGGCTGTCTAGAGAGGTAAACCTTGTCTTCCTTGCTTTCACCAAGACTAATTATTCTTACATTTGAATATGGGCATGAAATTGGTTCTGATTTCAGACTTGGGATGCATACTGAATCCTCAAATTACAGATTATGATGTATGTGTTGAGTAAACTTTAAAAATTGAATGAATGAAGGGCTTGCCTTTTGATGTGATTCAGAATGTTTTCACCTGTAGCTTGCAAATTTTTTTCAGTACGGGGTTTGCCTTGTGTAGGACTTTTCATTAGTAAGTCTACCAAGTACTGTTTCCCTTGCATTATTATGGTTGCTTGAGAACTAATATATTTGCTCTTTGGTCTCAAATGCTAGCAAATCATATGTACACGTATGTTCTCAAACATCTCAGCTGTCACTTTATCTGCCCTTTTATCTTGTGGGAGGTTGCCCAGCTTTTAAAATGTTTCAATGATGCAGGAAAAAAAATTTGTGATTGGTGCTGAAGCAAATAAATTGCATGCAATGAGGTACTTGCTGATCCAGTTGCTGCTTCAAGTACTCCTTCGACCTGGAGAATTCTCAGAAGCTGCATCTGAACTTATTATATGTTGTAAGAAAGCTTTTGCTGCTTCTGATCTTCTTGACTTCTCTGGAGAAGAGGAGTTGGATAATGATGCTGATCCTAAGTTAATGGATGTCCTTTTGGACACATTCCTTTCATTGTTGCCACAGTCATCAGCTGCCATGCGCTCTGCTATTGAGCAGGTGTGTTTAGTGATGGAAGGTTTAGTTTTGTATTTGCACATGTATGTTGCATATCTATTTGTCTCGACTTTAATTTGACTTTAATTTGGCTTTACAATGCGCATTTATAATTAAAGTTGTGTATTACTTCATGATAGGATGAGTTCTTGAGTAATTAAAAGTGATTTTCTAAATGTTAATACATTGCTTCTTTGCGATTGTTTTTGACATTTTGGCATTTCAATTTGCCGGTGGAATTGTTCAGTTGGCTGTGTCCAGATTGAATAGCTGAACTTTTAGTCAATCATGAGGTGCTTTTTACAATTATTGTGCACGATGTGCTTAGTATTTGTTTCATAACTTATTTAGAGAAAAGGTCAATGCGCTTAGAGTGAAGGATTGCTGAAAATGGCTCTTCTTACCCATGGATTCCCATTATCAACATGATATTAACTGTGGCAATAATTTATGTTTGTAGGTTTTTAAGCACTTCTGTAATGATGTGACAAATGATGGACTTCTTCGGATGTTGCGTGTCATTAAGAAAGATTTGAAGCCAGCTAGACATCGGGAAGAAGGCAGTGAAGATGAAGAAGATTTTCTTGGTATTGAAGAAGAAGAAGAAGAAGAAGAAGTGGATGAAGCTGAGACAGGTGAAGATGAAGAACAGACTGATGACTGTGAGGGAGTGGTTGAAATTGAAGAAACTGGAAAAGAGCTGCCTGATGATTCTGATGATTCTGATGGAGGAATGGATGATGATGCAATGTTCCGGATGGACGCTTATCTTGCACAGATTTTCAAAGACAGAAAGAATCAGGCTGGGGTTGAAACTGCACAATCTCAGCTTGTTTTGTTTAAACTTCGTGTTCTTTCATTGCTGGAGGTTTACCTGCATGAAAATCCAGGCAAGTAATTGTTTCTTGTGTTTAATTAGCTGGGATATGCAAATTAGACTCGTTTGTTTTAGCGTAATTGATTAATTCCTTGTAATTCTCTTCTGCTGAATTTAGCAGCGGCTTCAGATCAATAAGAAAGGTATGATTTAGATGTATATATGAAAGTAGTTGTGTTGTGACTTATCACAACTGCTAAATGATATTTCTTGTCAGGAGCTGGGCTTTGGCAATCTGCTTGTTGTGGCTGTGTTGACAGAATCTCCAGTCTCAGTTGCAAGGAATATTTATTTCTACATTATGTCGCAATTTTAAAAATTCTATTTTTTCTTGTTTTCCTTGGAAGGCCTTTTGTTAAAAAACTTATTTCTAATTTGAGCTTTCTTGCTGTCTTCATTCTACAGCTGAGCCCGGGGTTCTGATGGTTTACTCGAACTTAGCTCAGGCATTTGTTAATCCTCAGACTGCAGAAATCAGCGAGCAGCTCGGACAGCGAATATGGGGAATGTTGCAAAAGAAAATATTCAAAGTGAAGGACTTCCCAAAGGGTGATGCTGTGCTGCTACCTAATCTTGAATCTTTGTTAGAAAGGAACTTAAAGTTGGCATCAAAGCCATTGAAGAGAAAGAAATCTGCTGGTATCTTATCCAAGAAAAAACAGTCAGCCATGTGGAAACGACACAAAATGATTGTTTCCCTTGCTCAGGATTCCACCTTTTGGATTCTGAAAATTATTGATTCCAGAAATTTTTCAGAGTCTGAACTAAAAGGGGTTTTTGATATTTTCAAGGGTGAACTGGCACGGTATTTTGAGAGTAAAACATCTCAAATAAAATCTGATTTTTTAAAGGAAATATTTCGAAGAAGGCCATGGGTTGGCCATCATCTCTTGGAGTTCCTTTTGGAGATATGTGGCAGTGGAAAGTCAGAGTTTCGTCGAGTTGGAGCACTTGATCTATTAATGGAAATATTGAAGTCAATGGTTCCTTCTGGTAATGATGAAAGTAACCGCGATGCATCAAAGAAAATCTTGAAAAATCATCTGCAAAAACTCAGTCATCTGATAAAGGAGTTGGTAACAAAAATGCCAGAAAAGCAGTCAAGGCGGGCTGAAGTACGCAAGTTTTGTGGTAAAGTCTTCCGGTATGTGTCAACCTATGACCTGACCAAATGTTTTCTTAAATATCTGGGTCCAGAAGCCGAAGCTGCTTGTGAATCTCAACTTGGAGAGCTGTATCTCAAGTTCAAGGAGGTCGGGAGTTAACTGTAACTGATAGTGCTGAGCCCTCGATAGCGTTTTGTGCCCAGGGAAAACTTATTTCAGCTCCTGTCCTGTTTGAACGTGCCCAGGTACTATTCTGGATTTTCCCCTTGAAATGGGGGAGAAGGAACTTCGCTTGCAGAATTTGCTGTATGATGGTTGCTTGGTGTTTAGCTCTATAACCTAGCAAGCTCTTATATTTTATCCCATCAAGTTACATATTGGTACGGCCTATTTTAAAGCTGGCGTTAGATGCTATGTCTTCAGGTTTTCTTTATATAGAGACGAATTATTCATTTGTTTTCATATAGAAAAAAGCTCAATCATAGTTAAAAAAAAAAAAAAACACTTGAACCTACTTGTTCGCCAAATGATCTGCTCATCTATTGAAAGATGTGAAAATCATTTGCCTTTTTTGCCAAACACACGTGCTATCTAATCACCATTCAAGTCTATTTACGCTCTTTGCTTGCTATGGAAAATTACCAAAGTTTTGATGTATGGTGTTTCAATTTTGTTGATGATTTTGTGCTCTCATGACTTATGGATATCAAGTTCTTTTTTGTTTTTTTGCAATGTTTATGAAGTTATCAAATAACATGGAGTTTCTAGAATGTGGTATGCACAAGAAGACAAAAAGATCATGAACTCAGTTACAGTTAGTACGTGAATTGACTTCCACTAAAGTTATCTCAAGTCACCCCCAATGCTTTTCCGGTGGAGCAGTTGGATCGGCAGTGAGCCCTCAAATATGTACTAGTTTTGCACTGGTTTATTTACTTCTCGACTGAGGATTCATGAAAATGAGCTATAATGTAGTTGTGCTCATCGCAACAGAGCGTGTTTGCTTCAACTTCAGTTATGGGAGAGGGAGCAACTGGGTTGTTTAAGCTATAAATTGAATGACAATTAGATCAAGTTTGTTGACTAAGGATAAGATTGAAAGCTAGGAAATTAAAGTAGAAAAGACATTAGAAGCAGGTGATGGTTTTAAAGTTCACAAAAAAAAAATTAATTTAGTTCTCAAGCTTTATAAATTAAACATTTTCAGCCTCTTATTATTTTTTCAATTCAATTTTGATATAAAAATTCAATAGACTAGCAGCCAAACTTTAGCATTCATGACGGCGTTTTAATTCTTAAGCCTTTGCTTTCATTTCTGGATAGCGTATGCTGTATTTTTCCCTTTTCTTCTTACCTCTCTCCAACTCAATTCTAGAGTATTCTCTTGTACATTTTCAAAAAGTAGTTATTTGATTTATCTATCTTAAAGATTTTTTATTATTATTTATTTTATTTTAAAATATTCATATAATTAGAATTTTTTTTCAATTTAATCTCCTTTTGGTATTTTTACCTTTCAAAATTATTTCTTATTTTTTTTATTATGATTTGTTTCTAATAATTATACTCTTAATTAAATTATTTTTCAATTTCATCTCTCAATATTGTAAATAATGTTTTAAATTAAATAATTTTTGTAATTATATTTCTCAAAATTTTAGTTCATTTTATTGTATATCGGATTTGATATTTGTTTTTTTAATTACTATATAATTTTTTTTTATTAGAATTTTTTTTAATGTTATCTTTCAATATTTTATTAACTTTTCGAGTTATAAATTTGAAAGATTGAATCGGGTTGACTTGATTTTTTTTTCAAGTTTTTTCTTACCATTGATTTTTATTGATTCCATCCGTGTACAGGATTATTTCAATATCATTAGTGAAGTTATTAGTTTCACATAATAACTCAACTTTGCCCAAGTCAAACTTTTTTTATAATTTTATAATTTTTTTTATTATATTATCAAATTAATAAATTTAATCCAACTTTCAAAATTCTTTTTCTTCTTTAGAAACACAACCATCTCTTCAACAATTTTTCTTTGCGTTGAATATTTTTTGGGTACAACTCGAGATGTTTTGCGGCACCAATCAAGTTTAATTTACCAATTACCAAGCTGGAAAGCTTCTTGCAAAATTGAAGCATGACACGATTGAAAACAGCATTTTTGAATTACTATTGTGTTGGTAAGGTCATTTTCAAACTAGGTTTTGCTAAGAAATATCTCAATGGTGGTTAACGTAGAATCTTCAAAGCAACGCGCTTGTGTTCATAGGAAACTTCCCTGGTAAAAAGTCTACCAGAAAGTGACTAGCAGGAAACTTCATTTATTAAAAAATATTGCCGCTTTCTTCTTCTTCTTCTTCTTCTTCTTCTTATCAGTGACTAATTTTCTGAACACAAAGAGCCACTGCCACTACATGAATTGCTAGTAGTGGCATCGCTAACTTCAATTTGGAGAGCCCAATTATTACTTTCCTTCTCTTGTCTCTCCCCTCATCCTTGTGGACCACCTAATCTGGGACCTCAAGCATTTTAGAGCGTGTGAGAACCTTAATTCCACGGGATTTGGCGAATGTCTTGCAAATTATTGGCATGAAAGGTTTGAAATTTCAACTCGATGACTGACTGTAGCAAGTTGGTTGCTAATCTTTGCTTATTTACAATGGCCTTTCTTTCATGCATATTCAATTTTATCGATTCAAATCCATCTCTCTAACATTTCAATTAGTCCTCTTATGTCAAACTCTTAAAGCTCCTGTGTTTCTCCTGACGTCAATGAAGTTGTTCCTAGGCAGAGACCTAGGATTTCAGTTGACGAGGAGACTGACGATAGAAGAATCTCCACGTTACTCTATTTACAATTAATTCCAAATATGATGACTAGGCCCCCCATGTTAGCCATTAGAAAGAACAAAAACATTAAAAAGAGGAGGAGAGCTAAGAATCCAATCTCTGTCTAACAAAAGCCGTGGAAGGCCAGCAACTCCTTAAATATCTTAATACGGCATGGAGAGCGAGCTCGAGTATGGCCGTCTAAAGGGCACTGCAAATTACCAGTCGCACCTTGTCTCGTTCAAACGGCTATGGACAAATATTTTTCCAGATGAGAAAAGCACATGGCCATGAGGTGGCATAATAATGAAAGGTGATGATCAAGTCATAAAGACTTGGGATTAAGAGGTTTGCTTCCTCTATAATTTTAGATTTGAGTTCTTAGCTTAGTTGTTTATATGATGATCACTGGAGGCTTACATGATCGTTAACTTTAGAACTCGTGGGATTAGTTGTGATATGATGGTCACTGGAAGCTTACATAATCGTTAACTTCAGGGCTCGTGAATCGTTAACTTTAGGACTCGTGGGATTAGTTGTGATATGATGGTCACTGGAAGCTTACATAATCGTTAACTTCAGGGCTCGTGGGATTAGTTGTGATACGCATAAACTCTAAAAAACAAATGAAGTAAAGCACGAGTCCGTTGCTCCGTAGGTGGCATAATAATGAAGTAAAGCACGAGTCCGTTGCTCCGCCGTCAGCCGCGGGCTTGGTAGTTTCCAATTAAAACTAATTCGATATGAATGATTAATTTTATAAATTTAAAATTAATCTGAATAAATGATAAAAATAAATAAATATTCTTTTAAATATTAAAATAATAATATATAGGACATTTTGAACTAATAAAAAAATCTTAAATTAAAAAACTAACAAAAGCAAAGAAGCATAGAAAATGAAAGAAAAATAAAAATGACGAGGTGAAATTTAAAAAAAAAAAAACAAAAAACAAAAATCTCAAGAAGAAAGAATAAGGACACTTTTCTACCAAATTTCACATGCTAATTAGCAGAGCATCTGTTGATCTATTTATTTGGCACACACCCACACCTGTCCATTTAGCAAAACATCCATTGCAGAGATGGGATATAGCTTCGCTTCCAAGCTTTTCTGGCAGGGAAAGAAGGCACCGCTCATTTTCTGGGATCCCTAGTGCAGTCCTTCCGTGTTTGTGCAAAATGTTTAAAACTTGGGAAATGGGAGTGTCTCATTGGTTGTTCATCAGTTGATCAATGATATAAATTCACGCAAGTGAGCATTCGCTGATGCTGAAAATCATGTATTAAGTGTTGTAACGTGTACACAAGTGATTCAACTATCTCTCTTAAGAATCTAACAGCCTATGCTCTACCTTTTCACCACTTTCTTACCCTCCTAACCTACACCTTCATCTCTCTCTCTCTCTCTCTACTATTTTCATCGACTTTTTACACAAAAGCAAACGCTTTCGGCCCCCGGTCAATGCAAAGCCACTTCCCAAGCAGCAACCCACCACCACAACACAACTGCAGACCCTTCCCTGTAAAAAAAGCACCAGGGTTCGTACAACTCCATCAGTCTTCTACTAGGGATGGAAAAACTAGATTTTCAACAGCAACGACAACAAGAAGCGAATTGCTACGTACCTCATCCATGACCCAATCCCAAAGAACCTCAAAGACCCCTCTCCTGAAAAGCTTTAAAGCAATCCAGCATTCATTCAACTCGAAAAAAAAGAGCTCATCATGAATGCGCATCCTCTGAATCACTCCCTGAAGAACTCCCTGAATCAGAATCTGCAATTTAACTCAAGGTTAGCATTTCCGCACCACAATAAACTCTGTGAAATCTAGACTCCGCAACATCAGGATTGAGCTTTACCACTAGAAGATGAAGAATCATCACTAGAACTGCTAGAGCTACTAGAACTGCTACTTGCATGGCCATTATCTTTCTCAATCTCCACTGGTGGAAAACTACTCATTGGCATCTCATCACCAATGTCCACATCTTCATCCCCGACATCCCCTTTCTTTGGCTTCTTCGACTCATTTACCACTTCCATTCTATCATTCCCAGGAACATCCTACACAGTTAAACACCCATAAGCAAACCATATATTTACCACAACTGATAAAAAGCAGAGAAACAATGGCATACTAGAAAACTAGGACAGTTCACATACCTTATTATTGCCTTCGCTGGTAGCAATAGCACCCACATTGTTGTTTATACCCATCAAAGCTTGCCGCTTTATCTTGCTAACCATCTTCTTGTAATTAGTCACAAACCGATCCAACTCCCACAACGTCTCTGTATCAACAGCCTCAATATCAAGCTCAATCTCATCACCCTCTTGCCTCAAATGCCCATTCCTCTTCCTGATAATCTGCACAACTTGCTCCATTTTCTCTTGTGGCAAACTCTGCAACCCAACTCCCAGCTTATGCTTCTCTTCGAGGCTCATCTCTCTTTTATTTGGATCCTTTGCTTTCGGTTTTGGTTGCTTCACTGGCTTCACTTGGGGCATTCTCATTGGCGAAGGCGTGCTCACCAAATTAGGGTTTTGATTCAACCCGGTTGGCTGCTGTAGTGGCTGCTGATGCATCTGGTGCCCAATTGGATCAGATTTCGCTGTAACTTGCATAAAGTCATCATCAATTTGATTAACCCTTTCTGGCTCTCTTCTAATATGATCCCAAGAACTCGCTTGCACTTCTTGAACCTGATCATTCTCCTCCTCATCAAAATCCTCAC